ATAATAATAATAATAATAATAATAATAATAATAATAATAATAATAATAATAATAATAATAATAATAATACGGACATTTGTTTAAATGTATACATTCATTTGCCTGGATAAATATCCAAAGAGAAACTCTACATTTCTTTCACCACAAAAAGCCTCAGAACCGAATTAGCTCTTGGCTGAGCAGTATAAGACCTGAATATCCAGATGCCACAAGGAAATCCGTCTGAACGATACAATTAACGTTTAATTAATCTCTACCTTCTTTTCTACCAATGAGTGCCTCAAAGCACCCACAATACTAACCCAAACAATTACACCACATAATTAAAGACATAATTCAATCATCATACAAACAAATCTTTCAACTCGGGAGAATGTTAGCTTATATCTCAATATCCTGTTTAAAAAGGCTTTTGTTGCTTGGAGAAAGATATCAATTCCCTCCTGGGCATGGAGTCTTCAAAACTAAAGCACGCCTCTCTCACAATAGAGTTTAGCTTGTTCTATCAGGCTGGTCACCCACTGACAACTGCAGAAATTTGGAAGGGAAAATCTTCTCTTAACATACAGTGGTCTCCGTGTACGATTGTAGCATACATATATATCAAGCTGTCATCAGACCCAAGATGACTCCCATCCACCCCCTGCCAGGTGCTGGTGAGAGTGTCCTTGGCTCCCAGGAGGATGTTATTTTGGCTACATGTTTCACAGCTATCTCTACCCCACCCTCCCTTTCAGAGGTGGGTTCCTACCAGTTTGCACCTATTCGGTAGAACCGGTTCATCAAATCTACCGAACCGGTTAGAAGAGATTCCCTTTCCCACAGCTCTATCCCAGTGTTTCTCAACCTTGGTCCACCTGAAGATGCGTGGACTTCAACTCCCAGAATCCCCCAGCCAGCCTTGGAATTCTGGGAGTTGAAGTCCACGCATCTTCAGGTGGACCAAGGTTGAGAAACACTGCTCTATCCAGTCTCACTGTGACAACCCTGAAGATGTTCCAAGATGGCTCCAGGGTTGACACCATAGATAAAATAGATAAAGGCCTTTGTCCTGGGCAGAAAAGTCTCACCAGTCAGCCATACTCACATGATTGCAAGAGAAGGAAGTGAGAATGACCGGAGTTACAGTTCACCTAAATGGCAGGTTGGTCAAGTAATAAAAGTTAGTTGGTATGTTCCTGCAGCACTAAAGTTATCCCACTCCCATTACAGCTTTCTCAGACAGGGATGGGATGGGATGGGATAGGGTAGGGTAGTTGGAGGGGACCTTGGATGTCCTCTAGTCCAACCTCCTGCTTAGGCAGGATACCCTGCTCCACTTCAGACAAATGATTGTCCAATCTCTTCTTTAAAACTTCCAGTGTTGGAGCATTCACACCTTCCGGAGGCAAGTTGTTCCACTGATTAGTTGTTCTAACCGTCAGGAAATTTCTTCTTCCTTCTACGTTACTTCTCTCCTTGATTGGTTTCCATCTATTGATCCATCCTGAGAGCAGGTATGGCCCAGCAGGTTGTATTTTTTTTAATATATATATAACCCTTTCAGACTTTCAAGAGCTGCATTGGCAAATAGCACAAAATTGATAGGATAATGGGGTCCAGATTTGGAATACCATATTTTGGGGTTGGTGAAACATTTTTTTTGAAAATTATGTTAAGCTGATTTCTTGCCCTGCAGTGTCCCTACATTTCCTGCTTCAAAATGTTCAACAAATAAAATGGCGCTTTGCTTTCTGGATTTCAGTGGATATTTTAAAAACAACACTTCGTGGTTTGTTTTTTTAAAAAGAAAAGCACTTAAACAAATATGGTTCTAAGCATGTAGATTTCTGCATATATGAGTTGGTCTGTACTTCCTGACAATCTGAAGGCTTATTTTGCCAATGAATGCAAAATCTTGCTTGTGGGAGATTAAAAAAAAAGCACCATCTCCTTGTACAGAAACAAGACTAAAAATAACCAGACTAATATTCTGGCTGCCATGATCCAGTAACGAAGTCTGCCTCTCTGCAGGATGTGATAATGTCTATGTATGGAGGTTAACAAATTCAGCAGGGGGCGGGGGGGACACTCAGCCTTGTGCATAGCATAGGAGAAAATATTTCTTTTTTTTTCTATTTAAATTTAAATTATTAAAATGCAAATTAACGATCCTACTTCTTCTTCCCTCCCTCCCTCTTTCCTTCCCTCGTTNCTCTGCTCTAGACCATCCAATGACATTTATTCCCTTTTGCTTTCTGACCAGGAGAAAAAGAACAGAGCAAGTATAAGCTTTCATTTATTCTGAGTTGCTTTAAATGTATGTGTTCCAGCCTAGTGGGCTGTTGTAGAATTGCAGATTGTGCGAAAATTCCCATGTAGAAATAAATAAACCATTGTTCTGGTTGGAGTTGAAATGACTACTTTTTCCCTTTGCAAAGCTTTCCTTTGCAAAGAATCGGGAAGATGGTCTAAAATATAGGCAGAGAAGTTTGCTTCCTGAACTCAGCAGTGTTTCAAGAACCTGGTAGTCATTATTTTTTATGAGGCTGGATGGACGTATGCACAGTTGCTTCTGCTGGGATGTTTGCCTTGCGGGAAAATGGGGGAGAAATCCATATGTATATAATCTCAGGTTCCCCAGAGACCATGCAACTGTTCCTGTCCTTTCCCTCTGAGCAAATATTTTCCAGAACACCCATTTCTTTCTCTCTCTCTTTCTCTCTCTTTAAAACAGATGGGGAGATGGTTGTGGGAATAGCTCAGTTGCTATTGGAACTTTTAAATTGCTTATCAGTATGTATATATAGTTACTAACCTCCTTCTACCTTTTCTCCTCTTCTTTTCCCCCACCCTTTTCTCATGCCTGTTTCTTCCCCTCCTTTCTCCCTTCCTGCTCATCTCTTAGCCGGTCCCAGCATTGCAGTCCTCTCCGCAGCCAGTTCAGTACTCTCCAAGCTCCTGTCCCCAAGTCCTCCTGCCAGTCTCTCCACCCCAGCAGTACAATATGGTATTAAAAACCCTATATCTTGCTGTCTTTACTCTCTGCGTATATTTCTGCTTTGCTTATCCACATGTGTATTGTACACCCAAACTGATCTGATCAACTGCTTTTGGAATCCTTTTAGAGGAAGTAAAGTACAATAGATGGATTTTTCTTGCAACACATCATTAAACAATTTGTCAGACTTACTAGGTAGAACAGACCAGGAAATGCAACCATTTGAACTATTTCTACTTTGTTGTAAAGCTACATTAACAGAAACCTGCAAATCTGAAAGTATAGCGAGCCATGATGGCGCAGTGGTTAGAATGTAGTACTGCAGGTTATTTCTGCTTCCTGAAATTTGGTAGTTCGA